CCTATATCGCAAATGGGAAAGTGAGGACGGTAAATCTCACCGGAACTTGATCGTCGTCCCAGACTCCAAAATAAGAGATGTCTTGTCGGAGTTTCACGATGGGCCAAGTGGAGGACATCTTGGCATAGCAAAGACCGCTGGAAAGGTAAAGCAGAGATTCTACTGGGTCGGCTGTCAAAAATCCATTGCCGACTGGATCGCCAATTGTGAAAGGTGCATAAGAGCTAAAGGTCCAACACGGAAGAGTCGAGGCTACATGCAGCAGTATAATTCAGGAGCCCCTTTTGAAAGAATCGCAATGGATGTAGCTGGACCGTTCCCCACAAGCGACTCTGGGAACCGGTATGTCTTAGTGGTCATGGATTACTTCAGTAAATGGCCGGAGGTTTATGCTATCCCAGATCAAGAAGCCAGGACAATTGTGGATGTGTTCAGCAAAAATTGGATTTGTCGCTATGGTGTTCCATCTGAGGTTCATTCCGATCAAGGTAGGAATTTTGAATCAGCGATCTTCAAGGAAATGTGTGACTCCTACGGAATTAAGAAAACCAGAACGACGCCCCTACATCCACAATCAGATGGCATGGTGGAAAGATTCAATCGCACCCTTGAAGAACATCTACGGAAAGTGGTGGACAGTGGCCAACGAGACTGGGATGAGCATATTCCAAAGTTTTTATTGGCTTATAGATCGGCCATTCATGATTCCACATCCCGGACCCCAGCCAAAGTTCTGTTCGGAAATGAATTAAAGCTACCTGGCGATTTGATATTCGGTGCTACCCCAAACGATGATGTGAACCAAGATGAAGACATTCAAAACTCTTTCAGTAAAGTCCACGATGCAGTCCGACATCGAATAAAAATGGTTAGCAACCGCATGAAGGCAAGGTACGATCGAGCGGCAAATACCGATGGGTTTCAAGAAGGGCAACTGGTACTATTGTTCAACCCACAACGAAAGAAAGGACTATGCCCCAAATTGCAAACGCCCTGGGAAGGACCCTACAAGATTGTCACGAGAATAAATGACGTCGTTTATCGCATCCAGAGGAGCGACAGTCCCAGGTCGAAGATGAAAGTTGTACATTTGGAGCGGCTGACCCCCTACGGAACGGGAACTGTGCCTATTCGGGACGAACAGGCTTAAGCGGGGGGCAATGTTACGAATATAACTTTAGATTTAAGTTAATTTAGATGAATTCCGTTAATTTAAGAATTTGAATTGTAACGTAAATTTCTACTACGCAGTTTATTTGAATAACTTCACAACAACAACCACTGTATAGATTTTTCTACATCCTTCCATTTCCTCTTTCATTTTCTATTTTGTTATTGTCGTACAATTCTTGTTAAACGTTATTCCTCTTTCTTTGTTATTCCCTCGCCTGTATATGTGTTGTTGTTATTCCTCTTTCTTTGTTATTCCCTCGCCTGTATATGTGTTGTTGTTATTGTAAGTTTGTTTACTCAAGTTTGTTGTTGTTATTGTTCACTCAGTAAGTTTGTTGTTGTTATTGTTACTCAATGTGTTTGTTGCATTGGTAGATTGTTCGTGATCTAGGTGTTACCAGATCGTCTAGAAACTTCTGTAGCGACAGGCAGGGCTCATATAAATAGAGGGAATGGAAAGGCAGTGAGTCAGTTGTGAATCAGATCGCGAATTGAAACCGTCGTGTAAAGTAAAGTGCAAAGTAAAGTTGTGTGAATAAAGTCATTGTAATAATCGTAATCTGAACGAACCCGCGTTTTATTTGGTACGAACTGTATCGGGAAATAAAACAACGTCTACACGGGAATAAGTGAAGTCCAAGAACGTAACAATATGTTAGAATTTTGGCGTAAAACAAGAAACAAAAAGTTTGAAATAAAAAACTCTGATGACATGAATTAGGAATAGTGTTGTATGAACGGGTTAATTCATGTACGTAATTCTGAGAGCGAACTACGTTGTTCGAATGCCCGTCAGAACATGGCATAACAACTTGACATAATTGGTCTGTTCCCGTACTGCAATAATCTACTCGATTTTACTATTTTCTTCGATATCGTAAAGGAAAAAAGTGTTATCGGAGTAAAAAGTAGTAGATTCTTGCAGTACGGGAACAGACCAATTGCTTTTGAGGAAAATAGCATCAAAATTAGAAAAAGAAACAACATTAAGAGAAGTTAGAGAATTTGTATGAATTTTGACATGTATTACATAGAAATAAACGTCAAATAGATGATGACAAGTTAATTTTTGCGACAAATTATTACTGAAATAGGAATGCCATTTTAGATGGCATTTTACAGCTGATTTTCAAGTTGGCTTTTTTTGTGTAAGCACATGTTTTTGATATTAAATTTCTGAATAAAGGATGTTTATTTTTCGAATCCAGGTTGATCATATTAAACATGCATTGTAAACATGCTTCCACGATGCAATAATAAGATGATGTATCAAAACAAAAACCTTTGTTATTGTCTCGACCAAGGTAGATATACAAGGTAGCCGCATCGGCGAATTTCTACAACAAACATTGGTTGTTGTATTTTGATATGTCAAAAATATTTTACCAAAACAAACAGATTCGCAAGATTTTTTTAGACAAATTCTTGTAGAAAATAATAATAAAAGTATTGCCAAACAAGCTCTTCGAAATTCGGAGATTTTCATTTATAATTTTGTTTTTAATTGTTTGCTTCGGCATTACAACAACATTTTTGACATTTATTTGCACCAACAGCTGGGCCGATGCGGCTACCTTATTAAATATACCATGGTCTCGACAATCTGTCAATTTTTTCCATATAATATTTCACATGGTTAGCAACATCGCTTTAAAGTAGAAATTACACATTTTGACAGTTAATCGAGTCATCAGCTGGGCTAAGTGGACTACCTATTTATTGTGCCATGCATGCTACATTACAGGGTTATATACATCGTGGTATGGTCTTTGAGCTGCATTCGGAGCACTTGCTATTTAGGAAAAATTAATTTAGGTTTTTTTTATAACTTAATTTAATAACATCTTTCTATAGATAATCAATTTAGCAATGAAGGGGAAAATGTGTACGAGGATTCACAAAATGGAAAAAATTGTAAGTAATGCAAAGTTTCATTAAATTAGAAACTAGTTATTTATATTTTTAGGCAAGTTCCAGAAAGAGGGCAATGTATTGATGCAGGAAGCTTAAATGTTCCCGGGGAACATACCAAATCATTTTTTCTTTTATTGTTCATTTTATTTTTAATATTAAATGCAATACAAATAATTGTGTTCGTCCTTTGTTTGTTGTTTATTTTGGAGCAAATAAAATGTTTTCTTGAATCATTTGCTAAATCTTACTAAATGTTGTCTGTTTACTTTTTTCAGTATTATCGCAAAAGAGAGTAAAAACGGCTTTCTCTCTGAACTAGAACTTGCTGAGTAAATCTTACTGGGAAAAGTAACCAGACACACCTAATGTACCATGGTACAAAGAAACTTGTTTAATCAATGATGACATAAATCTCTCTTTATTATAAAGTAATCATACGATCATTTTTTCTTAAAATGTAGTAAAATAACACCTCCTATTTGAAAATCGTATATAATGTCACAAACAAGTATTGTTTTACTAATTTTTTCATTAAAAATGTAATGAAACTATAAACAAATGCCATTTGCCACACGTCCTTCATAAAGAGTTACTCAACACATGCATACGATTTATCGTACAGTGTGTGTGTGTGCCAAAACGTTGCCATTCCCCATTGTGGTGTGTGTCTCTGTGGAGAGTTCAGCAATACGGCAACACGCGGTAACCAAAAAAATCTGTAGATTTATTTTATGAAATTGGACAAAGAAGTTGTAATAGCTCGAATTTTGTGTGTGTTTATTAAGGGCAATCCCTGGTGAGAACCCCCCGTTAAAAAGTGTCTAAACGACGAAAAGTTCGCAAAATTCAATGAAAATGTCAATCGTGGTGACAAAATATCAGTGAATTTCCATAGAAAATATATACACAGGTGTTTTTTTCTTTCGTTTCTTTGCTTTTATTTGGTGTCTCATTATCTCGCGTATACATCTCGGAAGCAGCAGAACGAACGAACGGGGTAACTCCATCCCACACTAATACTACTGCAATTACGAATTACTTACGACGATTTTTTTTACTTCATTAAAAAAAAAAACAACTCTACACACAATTGCACGGCAAGAAAGAAAGAACGAACGACGGCACAAGACAAGCAAAAAAAAAATCACATAAAGAAAGAAAAGAAAAACGAAACGGAAGGAGAAAAAACCCCATCAATAACTAAAAAAAGAAGAAATTACACACAGTAAAGTTTAAAATCAAATAAATTATTATTTTAAATCAAAAAATACACAATATATACTCTACTCCAGTGAACGAAGCAAACGACAACGACGAGTCAGTCAATGAGTGATTGAGTGAATGTGAATGAGTCGTGGTCTTGATTGTATTTATTTTGCTGTGGTTCGCTTTGATTTATTTTGTTGGGTGAATAATTTTTTGTTTTATATATATGAAGTGTGCTGCTGCGGAGAGATTTTTGTTGTAATAAAACAAACGGCTAAACAGATTTAGCAAAGCGAAAAAAGCAAAAAAAAAAAAAATTAAAACACATTTTAGCATCCAGTAGTTGATGTCCCACCACCATCACCACCTCTGTCACCACCGTCAACATCATTATCTTCGTTTCTGTAGTCATTATTATTGTCACCACCAGATAGCCAGAACAAACTATTGCTACTACCAATAATCATCATAATAACAACAACAACATCAACAACCCGAACAACACTAAGAACAGCCACACCAGTCAGTCAGGAGAACTTCATCAGCATCATTGATAATTATCATTAAAATCCTCGTCGTCGTTGTCGTCGCCGCCTCACCTAGTAGTGCTTTGTAAAGGGGCAGCGTCGCAGTTGTCGCCGCAGTAGCAAAAAATAACAACAACAGCAACAACAAGAAAAAAAAAAAACACCAACAGCATTTATAATTATTATTGGCAAATATGCGTGAATTTAAAGTTGTCGTTCTGGGGTCTGGAGGTGTTGGTAAATCAGCCTTAACAGTGCAGTTTGTTTCCGGTTGTTTTATAGAAAAATATGATCCCACAATAGAGGATTTCTATCGCAAAGAAATTGAGGTATGTATTTTGATTGCATTGAAGTATCGACTAACTCCTTATAAGTTTATATTTAATTTTGTATTCTTTTTTATTTTTGCAAATATTTTGTGGGAGATGCAACAAAAGGGGGATACCAAAAACAAAAATTATACTAGAAATAGGTAGCCATTTGTATCCTGAAAAAATTAAATTTATAAGATCGGAAACATTTGGTCCTTTATGGTCATCCTATGTAGGGTAAACGCACCTAATTCCGGCATGTACCAATAGTCGGCATCTGTTTTATATAACTTCAAATAACTACAAAATCCTATAACTAAATATGAAAAATACCTTGAATAATCTTCAAAGACACTGCAATCTATCTCTGTATAAAATTTAATCGAGCTAAGTTCATTTATTCAGTCAAAAATTGGCATTTGGTCAATGAGGTTTGTCAACACTAGCGATTATTCATGTTTCTTAAGAAAAAAAATAGTGGGCATGACGATTTCAAAAGACTCGTAACTATATTAAAATTATATTTTTTCACAAGGATCTTCTTCATAATTGTAAAGAGCATAGAGGAGAATACTTTAGAATTTAAAATCATTAAAAAATATTTCTAATAATGATATTTTTATCGATGCCGACCTTAGGAACAAAAAAATTTAAGGTTTTCCTATAGTCGGCATATGGGTGAATAATAAGCATCTTTTCGATCATTTTGGCTCAAATGGGAAAAAATGTTAAATAAGTCCTCTAAATAACGATTAACTTATGAAAAATTAGTTTTGAGTGTTTTATATAATAGAAGACACGATTTTAATCTCAAATACTTTTAACCTCTGAAATGCCTTATTTAGCCATGCCGAGAATTGGATAGCAGGTTCCCAATGTCGGCATCATGTTTTATAATTCTAAGATTTTAATAAATAATAATATTTTATATAACTATTTCAATACAACACTGATGGAAACATCCCATAGTAATAATTTATTATTGCAAATAGCAGAAAAATCAATTAAAAATATAATTTTTGTTTAACTAAAATGTGACAAGCCGACTATTGGTACATAACATGCCGACAATTGGAAAAACGTGCCGACTATTGGCACAAAGGCACTATTTTAGATTATTATTAATTTAATGTACTTTAATACAAGATAATTAAACAAATTTGTATTCCATCGGGAAGTAAACAAAATTTCGAAACAGATGAACCTAAATACAATACCGTGGAAAATATGCACTTGGAATCGTGAAACGTTTAAAAAGCGAAAATTCTTAAAGTGCCGACTATTGGTGCACTTACCCTATATAAAATGAGAGCCGAGGAAAGAAGAAACCAGGGGTGAATTTAGGTGTTATAGCTTAGACAGGAGACATTTTTGTTTTGGAAGGTTATGACTTTTGATTTGATTTTATCTGGAGAAAATGGCTTACGTCAAGTTAAAAATCCTGATCACGGATTTCATCACGGACCCTAATCACAAAGATATACTTTTTTAGTTATGACTTTTGATTTGATCTCATCCGGAGAGCGGTTTGCGTCAAGCTAAAAAACGGTCAGGCGTCTTTACCATAACCATGTCTAGGGCCCCCAATTATAACGAATTTTTTTTGTGGAAATTATATTTCCTGATATATGGAAGAAGTCCTTAGTGTATTTTATAAGGCTTTGGAAAGACAAGGATCTCAGTGAATGTTTGGGGGATCATATCTCGGAAAGTATGAATTTCCGCAAGAATAAAATATTATATTTTTGTAATAAGGGCCCTTAGCATTCATTTGGACGGCAGTGTTCTAGTGTTTAGGTGAATGCCTATCTCTATGAATGTTAATCAGAACTATTACATAGGTCTCTTGGTATAGATGTACCGCTTGTACCTTTACATCTCTCCATCTAGATCCTAGCGTCCCGGGGTGGATACGCCCTTCTAGAAAATGTCAGTATACCGCAGAAAACTTCTCCAAATGGACTCGATGGTTTTTCATTCAAGTTTCTTAAATCCACCTTTCCAGAAGCTTTTAAAATAGGACAGTACAAGTTCCAAATTTGATGTTGTTGTAACAATAAAATACATATAATTGATTATGAATTGTCTGGTTCCTATATATCCAAATTCAAAAGTGTTTCAACTTAAATGGGTTGTGTCCATAGGGAATTTGGCGATAGATGAGTCGGCTTAACTGGGCAGTTGAAGAGGTGCAATGTGTCCTAGTCCACATGCAGGACATGTGTTAGGCATTGATCCGTCTAGTCTTGTCCAATAGGGACTGAGGCAGTTGCATTATCGTCGTCTAAGTTGAGCTAAGACTATTCGTGTTTTTCGGTGCAGCTGCTTCGCCTCTGCTACGATGGATGGGAGGTGGCCTCCGATTATGGTATCCATACAATATTGTTTTACTGCCTATGCGACTGCGTTTGTGCGAATGCCATTCAGACCAGCTTGATAGGCTTGTTAATCGAAAGGTTCACGCTTGTACATTTGGACGTCTCTCTCTAGATCATGAAGATCTCACCTGATGTACGTGGGTTGGGGGTTTTATCCATAAGCCTATGGCAGGGATTAGTGACTTGATGAGGACATTGTTCCTGCTTCTCAGCTTAACGCATAAAGCTATGGCTTGCCAGGCTACTCGAAAGTTACACCCAGTATTTTGGGGTATTTTGTGGTCGGAATCAGTTCTCCCTCGATGATTATGTTCAGAGAGAGAACTTAATTTCAGCCGTGTATATGGTGAAAAGTGTGGCTTGGGGTATTTTGTGGTTCTCCCTCGACCATTATGTTCAGAGAGAGCTTAATTTCTGCCGTGCATGTGATGAAAAGGGTGGATCTTAATTTGGTTGCGTATATTTCCATATTTCTCAAACGGAAGAAGCTGCCAAGTATTTGATCGTTTCTAATTCATCATAATCCTCACATAAAATGATATTTTGAATTTAGAGACCTAAATGAGAGTATTCTAAAGTGAACTTTTCCAAATGGATTCTATGGTTTTGCATCCAGGTTTCCTGGCTTTGATGTACCTTTATCTCATGAGTAGATTTTCGATGGTTCCGAAATCTTCTTGATCCTCACAAAAACAGCAAATCCATTAACATTGCATTTAGAAGCGAGAGACCTAATTCTGCAGTAACATGGCCCTTACTGTAGACTCTTTTATATCCATAGATTTGAGATGGATCTACATAGGGGTCAATGATCCAAAATGACCACAGCCTTACTTGGTCAACGTCTGTCCCATCAGCCCATTGTGTAAAAGCAATTAAGTAGCTTTAACAACAACATTGTAGGCACCCGCTGATTACCCGCCTGCGATAAATGCAGAAGGGTACCTGCTGCTACTCGACAAACCAGAGTGGTCTTGGCAGAATACAGATTTGGATGATGTAGATTGGGCACGAATTGATGGAGAGTTCAATAATATCTGCCCGGCATGTGGTATTGGTCCACATGACACGCTACACCTATTCAATTGCCCAGCCAAATCCACTCATCTAACCCCAATTTCATTGCGGACACAACCAATACAGGTCGCAGCCTTTTTGAATTTGGGGTTAGAAGGAGAACCAGATTAAGGAGAAATACACAGCAGTACAAGCTGCTACAACAACAAGAATCAAAAATTATAAATATTAGGTCCATCATTAAGTGTAGACCTAGACGAGGATCTCAATCCACAGATCTAGAAAATGATGACTCAATTATCATCTTTACCGTAACTTTGAGGCGTTCTTCGACGGAAGAGCCTATGAACTTTGTCACAACGAACCTAGGTGCAAAGTATCAAGATCCATTTGGCCGACTCTGTCTACAAAAAGAACGCACTCACTGTTGAACCTCAGCAAAGCTGAAATAAGAGTAATGACGGGAATCATTACTGGTCACTGCTATATCAGGGTTTTTACTAGTAAATGGGATCTTGATGCAATTGATTACTGTAGACTCTGCGTTGACGAGGAGGAGACGGAGACAATTGAGCATCTTCTGAGTCACTGTCCAGCCCTGGCTTACATGCGGCACAGACTAGTGGGTGCTCATTTTCTACCGAGTCTTAGCTTCTTCTCAACAACGGAACCTGCTCTAATCTACAGCATAATTATAAACCCAAAGTGGTTGGGAAAGTGCAACTTTGACACGTAATATATCTTCTGTCTGATTTCTATAGCCATCGACTTTATTCCATTCTTAGCTTTTTTATATCATTCTGTAAACTTCTCAGCTCTCTTTATTTTCCCAATCTTCTCTCCCCTATAGATCTGTCCTTATCTCCTTTCTTCTCTAACTAACGGTCTCAGAATGCTGCAGCCATATAAGTGACTGCACATCCCCAAACCTAACCTAACCTAGGTATACATCTCATATAACATTACCATAAATTTTCGCTATATGTAATAGGAGTTTTGAGATTTTGGGGAAATTGTTTTTCAAAGTAGGAAAGAAAATCTGGTTGGAAAAATATATAGTATTCGATACAATATACATAGTTTCAAATGAGGTTAGCAATTTGATTACAAATCCCTTATTATCCATTTTTTGATTTTTAAACAACAAGATTTTCACAAGCCAGATATTAAATGAAAATAATATTTTTCTCTCTCTCACTCTCTCTTAAAGTAAACAATCTTAAGGTTGATGCAGTTGTTTTTTATATTTTATTATTTTCTTCTTTTTATTATGGTGACATTGTTATATGATTTGTGCTTATCTAGTATCTGTTGTTTAATTTTTTTCAATGACTGATAAAAAAAATGCGTGGGTTGGGCGGGCGTCATTTGTTTGGTTTTCTATCCTTCCGGAATAAAAATTGGGATGGTTTCTTCTTCTAAATGTTTATCACATTTGAAAAAAAATTCCTTGATACTATTTTTAGCAAAATAAATGACAAAATATATATTTTTCATTTTAAGAAAAATTGTTTTTTTATTAAATTATATTTGTGTGATCACTCTCACACACACCCATCAAGCAAATGGTGCGAGAGACCGAGTGAATACAAAATAACAAAAAAATTCAACACCGATATTGTAGCTAGCATTCTGTTATCTAGAGTCTGACGACAACTATAGTTTTATAGTCATTTTTTTATAAATACTAAAACAAAAACCAAGAAAAAGAAAATATGTATTTTTTAGTGATAAGTACTATTTTAATGTATATGCACACACCACACCGCAGAAACCTACATACATATATGTATGTACGTACGTACGTCCGTACGTAATAAGTAAAGTTGGATTTTGTTGTCCGACATTATTTCTGTGTCTTGTGTGTTGTACGTATAGACAGAAGACAGACAGACAGGCATATGACGACGACAACGACACTGAAAATATCAAACCAATATCGCATTTAAAACAACAACAACAGCAGTAGAATTCATTCATATTGGAATTATGTAAACAATATTTTTTAAATGTTTGAATATTAACAAATGTTGTGACGTAGTTGGGCCAGTTGTAGTCCAGGCTACGGCTACCACGACCGACCACAACATTTTATTGTCCATTACGAAATCGAAAATCCTTTTTACCCAAAACCATCATGATGACGATGTCCATCCATCCAATACCCGTATTTATTTTTCACACACACACAAAAATGATATAAGAATTTCCATGTGCCCAGATCTCAGATCAGATCAATCATCATAATGTTATTAATCTCTTGATGTGGTTGTTGTTATTGTTGTGTTTTGGGTTTTTAGTAGATAAAAGCGAGAAACAAACAAACAAAAAAACATCCACACATTTTAAAAATGCAATATGTGACAATGTGTGTGTGAGTGTGTTCGCGTTGTTTGTAATAATACCCAAAGCTAGAGATATAGAGGTTGCTGGGTAGGTAGGTAGAATATTTTACTTGATTATCATTATACGGCTAGATTTAATTGATCTAAATGCTGCTGCCTTTGTGCATGTGCCTTGCAGAAATGGTCAAGTAAATTTTTGAAAAAAAAAAATAGTTTTCAGGGGTTGAAGTCAAAATTGACAAAAAGACAAAATTGCAATTTGGCAGAAGGTCGATCAGACAGAGGTGTTATTTTGGTATTCAACAAACGAAAAAAAAACATGAAATTAAAATGAAAGATCAAACTAGAATGATTTCGAATATGAGACCAAAAGGATTTTCTTCTAATAGTAGACCCATAGTGTCCAGATAGGTACTCTTATAGGTAGAAGAACAAACGAGGTTTCTTTTAGAGTATCTGAAAGGTCTTCTTTTAGAAGGCCAGATCGTAGCTCCAAAAAATATCAAGTGAATCCTTTTTTTAAAAGACATGAAGGTTTCCCTTTTAATAAACCAAAAGTGTCTTCTCTCACATATAGTTACAGATTAGAAAGCCGGTTCGGTTAACACCATGTGTACCAAATGGACACCAATCAGTTTATCTGAAAATAATAAGAGAGACAAAGAAGGTTTTTTTGGAAAATTCAATAATAAAGTCGGAATTTGGAAAAGGAAAGGCAATGAAAAGGGTTGAATTCTTCTCATAGAACTCTCAACTAGGAGGCCAGAACTTCAGAGGTGGGAAAAGGTCACGAAACACCAAACTAGTCATGGAAGACCGAACAAAGTCCAGAAGGGGTTTCCTGCAGAAGGCCGGATAAGTCTTCTTATTGGATACCGAATGAGTCTTATTTTGGAAGAACAGAAGGGGTTTCTTTTCGAGTATCTGAAGGGTCTTCATTTAGAAGACCATATGAGGTTTCTTTAAGTCTATCTAAAGGATCTTCTTTTAGAAGCCATGATCGTTTCTCCAATATCAGATGAATCCTTTTTTCAAAAACACATGAAGGTTCTCCTTTTAGAAAACCAGAGGTAGGCCTGGTCATGGAAGATCAAACTAGAATGATTTCGAATGTGAGACCAAAAGGATTTTCTTCTAATAGACCCATAGGGTTTTGCCTATAAAAGGCCAGATAGTTACTCTTATAGGTAGAAGAACAAGCCAGGTTTTTTTTTAGAGTATCTAAAGGGTGTTCTTTTGGAAGACCAGAAGGTAGCTCCAAAAAATATCAGGTGAATCCTTTTTTAAAAGACATGAAGGTTTCCTTTTAATAAACCATAAGTGTTTTCTCACAGGGAAGACCCCGAAAGGTCTTTTCACAGAAGACCAGTTCTTTTTTTTAGGAGACCGGAAGGTATTTAGTTTTTAAGACTGGAAGAATTCTCGTTTCTAGGAACAAAAAGTAGGAGAATCTTTTCTCCTACTTTTTGTCTACTCCCAGAGGTAGAACTGGTTATTGAAGACCAAACTTCGAATAGGAGATCAAAAGGATTTTCTTCAAATAGACCCATAGGGTTTTGCCTATAGAAGGCCGGATAGATATTTTTATAGGAAGAAGAACAAACGAGTTTTTTTTCAGAGTATCTGAAGGGTCTCCTTTTTGGAAGGCCAGATCAGAAGGGTCATCTCCTAGAAGAGCAGAAGGTCATCTCCTAGAATGCCAGAAGGATCTTCCCCTAGAAAGCCTTCTCCCAGAACACCAGAAGGATCTACTCTACAAACACGAAATAGACCTTCTCGTAGAATACTGGAAGGATGACCTATAAGTCTTTTATTTATAGATCAGTAGGTCTGATCTCTTTAAAGACCAATAGGTCTTCTCCCAAAGGCCGGATAGCTATTTTTATAGGAAGAAGAACAAACGAGTTTTTTCAGAGTACCTGAAGGGTCTCCTTTTTGGAAGGCCAGATCAGAAAGGTCTTCTCCTAGAAGAGCAGAAGGTCATCTCCTAGAATACCAGAAGGATTTTCCCCTAGAAGGCCTTCTCCCAGAACACCAGAAGGGTCTACTCTATAAAAGCGAAATAGACCTTCTCGTAGAATACTGGAAGGACCTATTAGTCTTTTATTTATAGATCAGTAGGTCTGATCTCTTTAAAGACCAATAGGTCTTCTCCCAAATTACCAGCAGAGCAGAAGGTATTCGCCTTGAATACTAGAAGGATCTTCTAGTATTCAAATAGGTTTTCTAACAGAACCCAAGACGAGTCTTCTCTTAGAAGAGCAGAATGCGCCACTTTTCTTGGTTTTATTGGCGGGAAACGGAATTGGAGTTTTCCCATCCCATAAACAATCCTCTCTTGTTCCTCCTCAAATGCTGTTCTCCAGCAGAATCGATAGCGACTTATGCGGCAAGACCGCCGTTCCTTTCAAATGAGGTGAGGATTCTACACTTCCTCATGTGAAGTCCGTAGTTCTGCTTTTCCACCAACTTCAGTATATTATCCAGTCCCTTAAAATATGGTGGGATCCACACCGAGGTAACCATACCACTCGGTATATCATGGACCACTACGGCTGCCAGTTTACTACCTTACCAAAGAGGGTCGAATAAGCTTGGTTCATCGGTTTCGACAATTCGCAGTTGGTGAATTTACAGTGGGAGTTGTGCCTTATCAGTTTTGTTGAAGGCATTTTTACGGGTTCTACTTCGGGCTGGCATCTACAGTCCCTTACCCTCAGTTTTTGTGGATGGGGGTACTGAGGGCTCAGACGTCCCAGCCACCAACTTTCTCTTTGTGATCGGGCCACTCACAGTCTTTTCCTCTTTGGGAGGGACTACCGTGGGGGCCTTTCAATCAATATCGTTCGGATAGTTCTTGAGCGCGCTTTTCAACCAAATTTGCTGCAATTTGTAATTTTGGGTTCTCATTATGTTGCATATCTCCGTTCTAAAAAATTATTAATATTGAAGCAAGTTTAAGGGTAGCCTCCATATAACGGTTCGCCTCAATATTCGGCATTTTGGCGACTTTGGACATATCTTTCAACCAAATTGGCTGTAATTTAGTATTTGACAAAAGCTTCAGCGTATCTCCCAAATAACGACACCCCCAATATTCGGTTTTTTGGCGACTTTTGGATACATTTTCACCCAAATTTATTAATATTCAGTTAAATTTCATATTTTCTGAAGGACGTTTCCAGGATTTAAAAAGACTTTAAATGACTCGAGATCAATATTTTTTCGGTAGACTCCTATCCGAAAATCTAATACCCTTTCGTGAATCCTTCAGTGCCTGATTTACTGTTTATATGACCCTCCAAACTGAAACTTTTGTGGACTCATCAGTGGTGTTAAGACTACATCATTTTAGCTTTTCGAATCTAGGATAAAACGTTTAGGTACTTGGTGGCCTGCATTATCAGATTCAATTTTTGCAAAAGGTCATTTTTTTAAATATTACCCTTGTTCTTTTATTGACAATCCCAAAAGTCTTACTTCATAAGTAAAGAATAATACTTCCTTTAAAACAAAAAGAAAGATACGACGAAATATTTTTTACAATAACAACAAAATATCTTATTTTAGAATACCCCTTTCACACATTTGCGGTAAAATTTTGTTCCATATTAAAATAACAACAACAAGAACAATGTTTTGTAATTAGCTGTGTATTCTGATATGTGAGTCATACACAAAAATAATAATAACAACAACAAAAAACATTGATTTTAGCCATGATTACATTTACGACAATCAAATTATAAATTATTACCTCTACAGAGGTACACACATGTAGTTATATATACACTAACATATGCGGTTTATTTTTATTTAATCTTCGTCTTTATTTCATTTCATTTTGTTCTCTTTTTTATTTATTTTTATTAGGTTGACAGCTCACCATGCGTTCTAGAGATCTTAGATACAGCGGGTACAGAGCAATTTGCCTCAATGCGAGATTTATATATCAAAAATGGTCATGGTTTTATTGTCATGTATTCCCTAACAAATCATCAAACATTTCAGGTAAGTTTTGCCAAAGTCAAACATCTACTGCAGATACAAATTGTGTAATTACTTCTTTTTGTTCATTTTTGTTTTCAGGATATTTCCAGCATGAAAAATGTCATAACACGAGTTAAAGGCAGCCAACCAGCTCCCATATTGCTAGTCGCTAATAAATTAGATTTAGATTGCCAAAGAGAAGTATCAACTGCCGAAGGTATGGCAATTTTTTTTTTAATTTTATGACCCTCACCGCTTTGGGTAACAGCATATGCAGAAGAAGACACCTCTTTACTACTTGAAAACTTTTAAAATTCTTCTTAATGATTATTTAGAAGTGAGTTAAGATTTCTGAAAATCCGACAATGTCTTGGATTACAATTCACTGTAGGACTGTGATAAAGAATACAACTTTTTCGGGAAGAGGATTGAAAATGCTTCTAGAAGCATATTTTCCGAACTTGTAAAATATTGGAGAATCTGACAAATAACTGACATAAATTCGTAAACAAGGTTCGAGGTGAGATTGGTTTGGGTCCACTGTATGATTATGACCCAGGGATACGTCCTTTTCATGTGCATTTTCGAAAAGAGCATTGAGCATTGCTTCTAGAAGCATATTTTCCGAACGTGTTATATATTGGAGAATCTGACAAATAACTGACATAAATTCAATAACAACATCCAAGGTGAAATATTGGTTTGGGCCCACTGTAAAACTATGGTCCAGGGATTAAATTCATGGGGCTCTCCAAAGTAAAAAATGTGGTTTGGACACAGATTATTATTGTAAATTCTGAAAAGATAATTGTACGTTTTTTGAAAATGACTTGGATTAAATGGATGGATTTTGGGCCCACTGTAGAGCTATGGCCAAGAATATATGCAACGTTTTCATCTGCATTTTCGAAAGAGCATTGAAAATACATGTAGTCCCATATTTTCCAAAAGATCCTTCCCTTCTGAAAAGTCAGACAATGAGAAGATTTAATGAGACATTGGTTGGGCGCCTCAAGTAGGCACTTTTCGGAAGAATATCGAAAATATTACAACATCCATGTATTTCAAATGACTCTTCCATTCTAAAAATTCCGTCAATGGCTGATTTAAATATATTCTGGACATCCCAGGTTTGAAATTGGTTTGGGCTCACTCTAGAGCATTAAAAAAGCTTTTATAGATAGCCAAGGTTTCCGAAATACCCTTCCCTTCTGAAAAGTCAGATAATGAGAGGATTTAAATTTTATATAACAAACCATTGGTTGTGAAATTTGTTTGGACCCGTAGGATTTTGATCAGTTATACAACTTGTTCATAGGTATATTCGGAAAGAGGATTGATGAATATTTTTTTTTCGGAATACCTAACCGTTCGGAGAATCGTAATAATAATTGACTTAATTGTTGGAGAAATTGGTTTTGAAGCACTTTCCGGAAGAACATTGAAAATGTTACAAAATCCAGTATTCCAAATGACCCTTCCATTCTAAAAATCGGACAAAGACCTGATTTAAATACACCATCAAAGGTGTTAAATTGGTTTGGGTTCACTCTATAATAATGCATTCTCGTGAAGAGCATTAAAAATGCTTCTAGAGCAAAGTGGGACCCCAAATAATTCTCGAATGGATTCTTAACAGAAATTTTCTAAAAAAATTGGCCGTAATTTGATATTTTATATAACAAAACCATTAGTTGTGAAATTTGTTTGGACACACTCTTTATTTGGTTTATGATCAATTATATAATATTTTTATAAGAATTTTTATGTGAACCAAATCCGTTTCAGACAATTTGGAGCCGATTTACAAATGTCTATTTTGCGCATGATAACTCTTTAGGGGGGATAAGAAATATCTAAACTTTGACTTACAGTTAATATGGTTTGGGTTCACTCTTATAATACCTTCAAAATTGTGAAAAAAAAAAAAATAATTTTATATAGCAAAGTGGAGCCAAACTTTGCACAACATATTATCGTTATAAAGCCTAGAATAAGTCCAAAAATGGGACCCATTGGTTCACTACTTTTGGGTACCTTCCCCACAAATGGCCAACATTTTCAATATTTATGAATCCAATGGATGAAAATATCTGAAGGAAATTATACCCATTATCCTTATGTCTATCCGAAAAGGGATATATACACTTTGATACAAATGGTCAAAATTTTCAAAAAATTTTAAATCCAATATCAGGCGAATGGAATGTTCGTTTGGAGTCAATCTTTGCACAACCAATTACCTTTAAGAAGTCTAGATCAAGTCCAAAGATGGGACCCATTAATCCACTCCTTCCGGTACCTCCCCCTCAAATGGTCAAAATTTTCAATATTTATAAATTCAATAACTTTGCAAACTTTGCATAATATTTCTACAAACTAGATCAAGTCCGAAGATGGGTCCCATTGGTCCACTCTATCTGGTACCTCCCCAACAAATGGTAAAAAATATTTAATATTAGTCAATCCAATATCAGGCGAATGGAATGTCCTATTGAAGCCAAACTTTGCATAACCTATAAATCCAAAATAAGGCTAGATCAAGTCTGAAGATGGGACCCATTGGTCAACTCCTTTCGGTACCTCCCCCACAAATGGTCGAAATTTTCAATATTTTTTAAATCCCATATCAGGGGAATGGATTGTCCGATTTGAAACAAACTTTGCACAGCTTTTTATCTTTACCAAACCTAGATCAATTAGAAAGATGGGACCCATTGGTTCACCCCTTCTGGTACGTCCCCCAAAAATGGCCAAAATTTTCAATATTTTTTAAATCCAATAGCAGGCGAATGGAATGTCCGATATGAACCAAAATTTACACAACCCACTACTTTATTTCATCTTAAAAAAACAAAGCTTTTTTGGACGTCAAATATATTCTTTGTATTGAGTAAATAAAATAAATAAATCCTCAGATCACTTCCTGCTGCATACACCCAAAGTGGTGTGGGGTATTTTAATCATTTCCTTATTTTTTATAAATATTGTAAATGTTTGTTTTAATTTTGTTGTTGTTCTTTTTTTCCCCTCTTCTAGGTGATGCTTTGGCCCAATTATGGGAATGCCCCTTCATAGAAGCCTCCGCTAAAGATCGTATTAATGTCAATGAAGTATTTGCAACAATAGTCCGTGAAATGAATATGACCCAGGATAAAAGACAGAAAAAAAGTTATTGTTGTTGTGCTCTTTTATAGAAGGATTCTGCTAATTATTATTATAAATATTATTATTACTATAATTACTACTATTATTATAGCAATTATGCACTTACGTACATATTATTATAATATAAATACAACACACAAAACAACAAAAACAACAACAAAACAAACAAAAAACCATACATACAGAGAGAAACAAAACAGCAACAAAAATAATTATAACAGCAACAACAACAAGAAACATTTAATACAACCCTCCCCCCATGATGTCTCCCAGCCAGCCGGATCCTACTCTTCACCCCCATTTCTCCCACACACACACACACCCCCACATCTATTCACTTAAAATGGTAATACCGAAAACAAAAACAAAAAACTTAATGTTAATTATGCGAAGATCAAATTGTCGTTATATACATATAACGAGATACTGATATATATGCAGATGAAATGAAAAGATAAGAAAAAAAGAAAACAAATGCGTGCAAAGAAAATTTAAAATAAATAAAAACAAAAAAATACTTTTCATTATTATTATTAATAATAATGAATAATATATATATTTATATATACATATATAATATATTTAGTGATGGCAATTATATAACAAATAAGATGATGAGCTTTTTTTCATCAGTACTGTGTAGTAAAAAACAAAACAAAAAAATAATAATAACAATAAAAACAAACATAAAAAATAAGATAAATCCGAAGAAGAAAAAGAAAAAAAACAAACAAAACATATTTTGTGTATGCCAATTTTGTATAGTGTATTAAGTGCAAATAAAAAAAAATAAAAACCCAAAACTCTACCCTTCCTCTAAACATCATCATGCCCCTCCTACCTTTAAAAAATGAGAAATATTAATAAGAAGTAATGGAAGAAAATAATAACAAAAAATTCAAGACTCTGAACACTTTAAAAGAAATCAAACAAATGTGTTTCCTGTTTTAATTTTTTAATAAAAAAATCAACCATTTTTTTTCGAACATTCATTTGTTTACTCCTCTCTCTCTCATTCCCATTAATACACTCTTACTCATTCACTCAATCTCCCACGACGGCTCCACTGCTGTCTCTGTTATGCACATTCATGAAAAAAGCAACTGGAAATTATTAACCTATAAACGAACATTTCGTTTTCTTGAGATAATTAAGCAAGCAAGAGATATTGTGCCAAGAATTTTAAAATAATTTTTTGAGATATTAAACTGCATGCTTGAATCTTTAAAAAAGTATGTTAGCCTGTATACCAACAAATAAAAATGTCGGCTACCGTCAAAATCGCTTTAATGACTTTGAAGGGATAGGTGAAATTGTTCGCCATTTTCGACTATATTGCAGACGCACGCAATTTAAAACCAATAATTTTTATTTTTGATATTAATTTAAATTTTAAAATTTCCATGAAGTACTGGAATCTTTTTTATTCCGCTAAGGTTTTGTTTAATTGTAACAACAACAACGAATTGGAATAACCTTCTTTGAGGAGGATATAATGCACATCTTATTCCAACTTTTCGAAAATCTTCATATAGACCATTGGCCGAAATATTAGGTCAATTTCGGGAAATATACAACCCTGTATCTACATTTTCTGTCACAGATTTTATTTTAATAAATAATTGATTTTCCACCACATTTGATAAACATTTTATGTATTTTTGGATAATTTTTAAACAACTTGAAAATTTCATCGATGCCTTTTTCAAAGCTCATTATGGTTATTTTTCTGAATTCAATATGTTTTGATAAAAAATGTAGATATCAGTTGGCCTTACTGGATGACCTTTATATGGACTATTTTTTTTTTATTAAAAAAATATAAATTTGAAAAAATATCGAATCAACAAAATAAATCCAAAATAAATAAACAAATCCCAAAGAATAATAAGAAAATAATTTTGAAAAATAATTCCCCATCCTGTAAAAAATTTTAAGAGAATATAATTTCAAAATGAGGAGATCCCCTGAAGTTTTTTTTTTTTTTGGATAAGGAAAATGTATCCTTCAAACTTGAGATAAAACCTTTATATTGTCACTACGCTCTCAAAAACACGAAATATATTTTTTGACGACGGACATGAAACCCCCGAATTTGAAAATTCGAAGTAGATTTTGTGATACAAACAAAAGTAATTTTGATAAAATTAAAGGGATTAATTTCGATACATTTTAACTAAATTATTTAGATACAAAATTCTATTTAATAAAATTAGATAAAATTAAAAATTTGAACTAAATTATAAAAATAGAAATTGATCTTATTTATATCTAAAATTATAATAAATCTAATAAATATTTCAATATTTATTTAGATTGTGACTAAATTATTTAGATACAATTTATTTGAAATATTTGGATTAAAAAAATATATTAAAATATTGTTTGGTTACAATTTATCTAAAAAAGATAAATTTTATCCAAATAATTTATATATTTGTTCTATCTATATATTCTAGATATTTGAAATAATAATAATTTTATTCTAGAATTTAATATATTCTAGAATAAAAATATTAATTCAATAAAAATATAAAAATATATATTGAGATACAATTTATCTAAATTATTGAAATGTCATGTTTAAAATATTCTATAATTAAGATAAATGTTATTCAAATAATTTAGATTTTTTTTCTATATATATATTCTAGATAAATTTTATCTAAATAATGTATCGACAATCTTGGTTTTCAATTTTTTTCTATATTTTTTTCTTTTAGATAAAATGTTGTATCTAAATAATGTAGATAAAATTAAAAATATTGTTATCTAAATAATAGAGATAAATTACAATTTTTAATTAAATTTTCAATTTCAAATAATTATTTTTTAATATAAATTGCATACATTTAATATCAAAATTTAGATAAATTCTAAATTTTTAAAAATTCTTAATTAATATAAATTATAGATAAATTTAATTATCTAAATTTAGATAATTCTAAATGAATATAAATATAAATTAATATAAATATAAATTAATATTTATATAAATTTATCTAAATTAATACAAATTTTAATTAATATAAATTTATATAAATATGAATTTATCTAAATTAAGATTAATTTAATTTATTTAAATAAAATAAATATTAATTTATCTAAATTAATATAAATTTCATTTATATAAATTTAATTTAACTAAATTTAAAATAAATATTAATTTGTCTAAAGTGAGATTAATTTAATTTATTCAAATCAATATAAATATTAATTTAGATAATTAACAATTTATCTAAATTAATGTTGAACTATTATTTAGATAACCCCACAGGCAATTTAATCCAATATTTTTTTGGCTATTAAATTATTCGTTTATTTATGGTATTGTACCTTCTGTTTATTATCTCAAATTTTCAAGTGGCTTGGCTGCATTATTTCAGTATGACAATTTTCATGAATGAATCAGAGTGTATGGCTAAGTAGAGAGAGTCTTCCCTCCGGTTCCATAAATTTGCATGTTTAATTTGAAAACTCAAATTCAAAAGCTTCCCTTACGGATTATGAATTATTATTTGAGTGTATTATTATTGGCACATTAGTTCTTCATAATGTTTCCTCCTTCCTTCAAATAAATACCAATTGTTTTTCATATACAACAAATTTTCCAGGACATGTTCTCCTCTCTCTCGCACTGAATGTATTTTTGACGCGTTTGTTTTTTTTTTTTTAGAAAAGAAAAAAAAACTTATTAATAAAGCATTTCGATTTTATGTTTTTCTTAAAGGAAAACAAAAAGACACAACTCATACGATACACACATACAAACACATCGACCAGATTTTAACTTTTTTTTAAAAAGTGATCAGTTATTAAAAAAACACAAAATTTCATTTCAAAAATAAAAACTTTCAAACAAAACGAATTACACTACCCTACAAGAATGTATTTTCGCAAGAAATAGGAAAAGAAAAAAAAGAAACGATAAGCAAGGCAATTAATTTATACAAGAAACTTAAGGAAATAAAAAAACAATTAAATTAAATTAAGTGTGGCTAAAATTTAGAAAGACTCTTAGACTCTACTTTTTAGGGCATAAATGAATACAAAAAATTATTAAAAAAACATCACTAATTTTCAATTCTGTTTTTGGTTGTTTAATATTTTTTCCTTCTCCTCCACCTAGTTAACAAATATTGACTAACACACACACAAAAGGGCATTTCTATTTAATTCTTGTTGTATTAATTTCCATTTTTTCCTCCTATTTTCAAAAAATGCACAATTTATTTTTTTAGATATATATAAAAAAAATTATTTAAATTAAATTTTTTAAAACTCTAAACAAATAATCATAGAAATTTTGTTGGTTCGTTTCGTTTTTTTTTTTGAGATAATATTTAAATGTGTTTAATTTTTTATTTTTATTAGATTTAAGTAAAATCTATGTATGTATTTGTTTTAACAAAAGTCCGAATGCATCAATTATTGTTTTTAGTTTTTTTTCATATATACAAATCTCATTACAACAACAACAAAAAAACATTATGTCATATTACCAACAACAAAAGTCTCTTAAAGACATAAAAACAAAATACTAAGCTATATATGTAATAAATTTATACATACATACAACCCAAAACTAAATAATAAATTATTAAGTATTTTGAAAACAAAAAAAATGAAAAAAAAACAAGAAAGATTTTTTTAAACGACTTTTTAAATTTATCAATTTTATTAACAGTTTTACTATTGTAAGAGCCTCATGAATAAAACAACAACAACAATAAATGTAACATATTTTTGTAAATTATCTGTAAAGGAACTTAAATGCAAAAAAACAAGCAAGAAAGTAAAACACAAAACAAAAACAAAAAAAGAAATAAAAAAACTATAAACTCCTAAAAAGTAATACATAAAAATATAATTATTTTATTTTCTTTTTTTTTTGTATGGACGAAACATTATTTTTTAAATGTGGAATGTAGAATTTTTTTTATATATACATGTTGCATGTTAATTTAATACAAACAAAAAACCAACAACAACAACGTACATATGTAATTGTAAAATAAATAAATAAAAACAATAATATTAATAATA